CCCGACAGCTGCAGGTCCGGACGGGAACTCAGAAAGGACAAATGAGTTCAGGTCAGAGTTCAGTTTGAGCCTCTGGATGCAGAGAACCAGAACCAGTGGTTCTGGTTCCAGGTGAACCAAAGTGAACCTTCTGTTTGTTTTGGTCGACTTGAAGCTTTAATGACAGCAGCTGTTTTATTTACGGATCAACAAATCCTCAGAAAGAAGGCGGAAAAAAAACAGCAAACATTTATAGAATAATTGAATGATAAAGAATCTGTTGTACGTTTATTTTCACACATCGTGACCTGATGACAGATTTTATCCAGTTTTTAAATGAATGTAAATTAATACGTTTTTTCCTGTGATTTTACTAAATACTACTGACAAGTTAAAATAAAATGTGTTTAATGTTTTTGAATGGAAAATAATGAACAACAACAACAATAATAATAATAATAATAATAATCTATAATGAACCCAGTTTATCTGTAAAATAAGAACAAAACAGTTTGATGGTTTATATGCAGTAAAAACTAATGTTATGGTCAAACACAGAAGAAAGAGAGAAATCTTTCTATTCAGTTTATTTTTATTTTACAGTGAACATGTAAACAAACATGTTTACGGTGATTTAATCGTTATTTTCTGTAACTAAACAAAACAAAACAGGAAAATCTGTCAAAGAAAAACAAACTTGTTTTGTTGTTTTTCTGTCCAGTGAACGTTTGTGCAGGTATTTTGATGTCTTATTAAATTTCTTTTATTTTTGTCCGACCAAAAGTCCAAACCCTCCGAACACTGAGTCCATGATCAGAGGAGACTGACGGAACCAGAACCTTTTCCCACTGAGCGGCTGCAGCAGCTGACTTCTGTGTTTCAGTGTTGGAAGCGACTCGCGGCTGCAGCTCCATGCTGTGTCCGGCCTCCTGCCTGCCCCTCCTCAGGGAGCTGGCTCAGTGGCGCTGCCTGCTGGGCTGGCACCGCCACCACGGGGTCGCCTCCGCTAGCGCCGCGGGGCTAACCGCTAGCGCCGGGCAGCAGCCGGGGTCAGAGGTCAGGGACAGAACCCGGAGACCCGTCGGACGAACCAAACCGCTGCCGGGCAGCCAGGTGAGTCCTGGACGGGTTCACGCGCCCACAGCGTCTGTGGACCACGGTTCTGGTGGGTTCTACTCGGTTGGCTCTCGGATCAGTCTTTGCTCGGTGGTTCTGATGGACGAACAAAGTGTCACCTGTAACATCGTGCTCAATTTAATTAGTTTTTATTTTGACATGAATTCACGAAAACAAACTTTTATGTCAAAGTGAAAACGGACCTCAGTGCTGATGGATCAGTAACATAAAACATCAATAAATGATCAGATGTTCTCCTCCTTCAGTGTTCAGTAGATGGACCTTCAGCTCCATCACTGGTCCTGTTGGTCTCCATCAGGCTGAACATCTGGACTCCATTGTTCTGATGAAACT